TTTACAGTAGGAAATTTACTAAATATCTTCATGGAGCATGATGTTTACTTAATATCCTAATGATTTTTGGCATAAAAGAAAAATCTATAATTTTGACCCATACCATGTATTGTTGGCTATTGCTACAAATATACCCCAGCGACTTAAGACTGCTTTTGTGCTCCAGGCTCACAAATACCTTTTCATAATTTCTGTGGGGGAAATTCTGTGTAATTATTCAAGCGGATGGTAAAATATGTTAATCAGACCTGAAAGTAAAAAAAACATGATCCAATTAAAACCCTACACTTTGTAATTAATTTCAACATTTATGCAAAACTCTTTCCAAATGCAATTATAATGAAAAGAAAGTAATCATAATAATCATAATCAAAGATAATATTTAGAAATAAATTATTGTGGCAGATGAATTGTGTGGAAATGTGGCACAGATTCTGTGGATCTTGACATGCTGTATTCATCCGGTTTTATTGAATAATTTAGTTTTAATTTCTCCAGCAGCGGTGTGGATGTGTTCGGATGCTCAGCGTGTGGAGAGAAACTAATTACACTATTAACTCACGAGCAGCTAATGAAGCGCTGGAGAACCAGGATATTAAATGATGCTGAACACAGAGGATGAAGGAGAGACGACTGTATAAAGTCACATTTATCTCTATATGCTTTATACAATACAGACAGTTTCCAAGCAGCTTCACAGAAATAAACTGATTTTCATATTGTAAAATTGATGAAATATGAATTAAATATGACGTCTGCGTGTCTCTGCACAGTTTTGTCTTGGTTTAAATGGAAGAAATTGTGACAGAAATATAATACTATATAACACTACAGTAGAAAAAGCAAAAGTATTAATATTAAATTTTTTTTTAAAGGAATGCCACACAATTTTTCTTCCATGGTCTTTTGTTTGCCATAAAAAAAATAGGAATTGTTACATTTTCATTTGATTACATTTTGAAAAATTCATTAAACTGTTAATGTTTTATGCCATCATTTGATTACTACCACTTTTGATAATAAATTTGCATTAAATAATAAATCCAGAAAAAATAAAAGAGACAACACATAATTTCAGGAAAAAAAAAAAAAAAATTATATATATATTTAATAGGGCACTATTATTGTAGAATTTTTTATACATTATTAAATTGTTGAAGCTTTATGAACTCAAATAATTAAACATGCTTTTTGATAACTAAAATTTAATTAAACCATTAAAATGGAATCCAGAAAAATTAAAATGGAAAATAGGGGGGGGGAGAGGGAATGAATTTCTGAAAAAATTAAAACATTTCATAGGGCTGTATTATTGTAAAAAGTTTCATAAATTATTAAATTGTTAAAGTTTCATGATTTCAATTATTTAGACATGCTTTTCATTACTAAAATTTTATTTAACCATTAAAATGGGGGGAAAATGGGGAAAAAATACAACAGTTTTCATAATTAAATGATAAAAATATCAAATTAATTATTTAAAAATTATTTTAAAAAAATTATTTATTTGTATTTTTTGTATTTGTATATTTTTATGTTATAAAAATATATTTTATTTGTTTACCTGCATGTGACCATAAACAGACATCACAGAACTGTTAACATGCAAATGTGTTGTTAAATGATTGAAACATTGACAACCCACTACATTGGCTAGTACATTTTTTAGTTTACTGGCCAGACTGATATACTACAGCATTTCTTTAACATATGACGGAAACAGCGTGAAACCTTGCACGTTACATTCATATTCTACATAACTGTATATAGTTTGCATCATCAGTAAGGTGTATACTGAGTTTGGTCTTTCTATATCACACTGTATTAGTTAATTGAAGTGCATTACACGTCGTTGGGGAATCCTGGAGTGTGACATATGAGGGGAACCCCAGCATAACACAAGCCATGAAGCACAAACGTAAACACAATCAGCTTTTCTGCATATATATACTGGCCCTGATTATCATAACTTCTAGGTACCGCTTGCTCCATTCCTTCAAATCAGTTTTTATGAATGAATGAATGACTTGCGCTATCGGTTGCTTTGGTCTTCATCAACAGCCGCTTGCGCCACCTGCTGGTGAGCGACTGACAGCAGCTGCAGAACCTGCATCGGTGCTCTACTGTTATTCCTGCGGCTCCCGGATGTGCAACGCCGACCTTTCTAGCAAATTTGAACCACTGATTGTGGAAGCGAATTTGTAAAGTGAAATAAAATAGACCGAAAACTGCCTGTCGAATATTATACATCGTATTTTTAAACAGATTGAATATTTCTGAAGTGAACTCTAGAAGGTGAATATGAATTATTGAATTTTTAATCATAAAAATGTGTGTGAAATGTTTTCACTTGAAATATTCACAGCTGAAATATACAACTATGTTGGATTTTCGCCCCTAAAAATGCAAGCCCAAAAAATAAAAGGCATTGAAATGCAAGCACTGTTGATGCAATGCATAATTTTTTCAGTTAGTGCAATTCAACGTGCTTTTTTGTTTCAAAGACATTTGTCATTATTTTACTTCCATAGCTGCGCATCCATTCAGATGAACTGAAAAATAGCACAGATCGCTTGACGGAGAGTGAAACTCTGAAGCGCTCAGTCAGTGTTCGGCGAGTGAAAATATATCTTTTATAGCCTCCAACTCACACACTGGCGAGTAAAATCTGAGAATTTATTAGCAATTGGCTAATATTAGACATCATTTAGTCGCCCAGAGTGAAGATTTAGTCGCATATGCGAGTGATTTACTCACAATGTAGAGGGTTGATTGACTTATAATTTCAGTGGGCCAAGAAATTATTTGAGCTCAAATGGTTCGGCTGATGAAAAAGTTTGGTAATTCTTGGGTTATGTATTTATCTGTACATAAAAACAACAGAAGTGTATGGGGCGTCCTGATTTAGGTGTGTGTGTGTGTCTTACCCACAGCACTGACTCCAGCGGCTCTGAACTGACCCAAAACCAGACCCTGTTCACTCTCAGCCAGCACCAGCAGCAGCTCATACGCCTCGATACACTGCTCACTGCAACACACACACACACACACACACAGAC